TCCTCTTCCGAATGTGTTGCCTTCATTCAACACAGACAATGCATTCAATAATGTTCAATGCACAGATATTCTGTTAAATATAGTGAGTGAGTGAAAGGTAAATGAAGTTTTATGTGACATTTTGTTCAATCCTTTTCCAGCAATATCATAGCAGCCGATTAAAAGTCAAACCGGGGCCACGCAAACCACTCTGTCATACCATGACCAATGTCGTGGTGGTGACACAGAGTCAACCTGGTAGCCACCAAACCTAGTTTTAATTAGCTATCATGACAAGCAAGGGGTACAGGGGACATATTACCATCTGTATTACCCACTGGGCCACGATACATCAAATCAGCTTGTAGTTCAATTTTCTATCAAGCATGTCCTTTTCATCTGAGACGGAACAGGTTTCATTAAAAATGTAATACCATTTCAATTAAACAACTTTTAATTATCGCAGCATATGTTGAGATACTCCACACGAGGAATGTTCACTGAGATCAATTCCACATCAATTCACTAAACACGTGTTGGCAGTTGGCTGACTAATACTGCTACAGTAGAGGTAGACTAAATGGGATGCACAGCTGTAGAAACTAAAAAATGTAGTCCTCTAGTCCTTTTTATGATAACATTTAGCAAAAACCTTTAAAAAAGGCAAATTTCTACTAGGCGTCATGATACCTTAACTATTGGGCAGTTTGGAAAGGACTACAGGACTAGTGCCATTTTCTACACTCTACACTCTACGCCTGATGAAGTTCATGCACTTTGAGTTATCTCAACAAATAGAGTGCCCTAAATATCACGTATTGCCCATAGAGTTAGAAATAGCCAAGATCATATATACACTAGTGCAAATACCACTCCAAGAGCACTAATGTATTGTTCCCATTCATTGGAATCTTATTGTGAAACAAGGTCGGAATGATGTCACACTAGAAACGATGTCATAGCAGAAGATTGCTGACGTCTGTGGTTTGACAATTGTGGTTTTCTAAGACGGCGGTCTTAATCAGTGCATGCTTCTAAAAGGGAGCTCAAAAGATAAAGAAAATGTGGGTAGTAAAGAAATCATTACACTCACATGTGTGTCTCATTTACGAAACTCGTGTAAGAATTCATATTGCTCTCGCTCAGGAAATGCAAGAATTCTGACACTCGTTTTGTGAAATCAGTATGACACACATGCTTGTATAATAATTTCCCTGTATGTCCTAATATTCATACACCAACATCAGTCATCATATATGGCATCCAATCAAATTAGTGATCATGTCTTTGCTCATGCTATCAGGCTCCAACTGCACATGCAAATATATATCTGTTGTCACTATCTTCCCTCGGCAAGAGAGACTGCCAAGGCAAACAATCGTGTAGTTTGCATCATTTGATGGGGATGTGCACGACTCACAGTGAGTCTCTTCTGCGCATGAGGCGTCTCCCACATGATTAAAGGTAGGAGGAGAGCTTGAGGATGCCACCTTGGACTTGCACATACACACATACACACTAATACTTCTGTGAGTATCGGCTAATAAGGACTTTTACCAAGACGGACTTTTAAGTGTTGAATAAGTTGAACAATAGATAACAACTAATTATTTTATTATCTTGACAACTAGTCATCTGTGGTTGACGGTCAAGAGGACTTCTGTTGAAAATTCTGAAGATTACATTTGCGTGATTGCAGCCAACATACAGGATTTGTCAGTGATGTAATAGAGGTAGAGGATTTGTAAGAATTATAGGTTTCTGGCGTAACCAATTGGAAGACACATTGCACAACGCATTTGTGCCACCTGTGCCCTCAAATCTTGTCAGACAAATCAGTGGTTGAATTACTTATCAATGTTCCACACTGTGAGTGTGAGGGTACGATGATCAACCCAATCACCAAGTCTAACAACTGATCCAAGTTATTCACCTGTTACCAAGAGCCATAAGATGTACTGATCTTGTTATGGAAGAAATTCAATGCATGCTATGGTTCTAGGTTATCATTCATGCACTATCTAATCAAATCTAGTGAGCACTACTACAAATACTGCAAACATCAGCAAAATAGCATGTTACAAAACAAATCACATTCACATCTTTAAAAACATTCTTATAAAAGTTGACCCGTGAAGATTCGGGGTAGAATAAGTCTTCAGCATCCCATGCTTGCCGTAAAAGGCAACTATGCTTTTCGTAAGAGGCGACTAACAGGATCGGGTGGTCAGGCTCACTGACTTGCTTGATGCATGTCATCGTATCCCAATTGCTTGGATCGATGCTCATGATGTCAATCACTAGACTGTCTGGTCCAGACTCGATTATTTGCAGACCATCGTCAAATTATTGCTGAGCAGAGCGTTTAACAACAAACAAGGACATTGAAACTTCAATTTTCCTATATTTTGGTCTCCATAGCACCTGTTACTGACAGCGACACCATTTATGTACACCGTGTCCTTCGATAATACCATATAATGACATGTATGTTAATACCATATAATGACATGTATGTATATACCATCCCATATTGAACATGTTTCACCGACATCATAACTCATAATTTACATGCACACCTTGCATAACTGTCAGTTCAGTCGATGACACTATGTTGTTCACGAACAGGGACATAAAAATTAGGGCAGGGATGTGGCCAAATTTTCCACCCTGGTACCTGACCCCCTATTACCTGACCCCCTATTACCCGACCATACTCGGGTACCCGCTGTAGGACTGAGTTCGATACAAAAAGTCCAACTGGGAATAGTTTTACCAGACCCCTGGGAAAAACTATTTAGATACATGTATAAAACAATCTGATCATCTCTACACTGTAGTTGACTAAAGCCTTATGTTTACTCAAACACATAAGTCAGAAGGAATGCATGCATAGTCAGAAAGTAATGTGGACTTCAGCGACTTGTAGCGTATTGTCATTAATCTATGAGTCTGGGTAGTCCTGTGGGTACCCAGGTCTTACTCAGGACCCATCTGACCCCAGTACCCGAGTCACCCGTCCCAGTGCTAATAAGAATGACCATTAATTAACTGACACTGCAATGATGAACACAATAACGGTAACTATACAAAACAAAACACATCAACAAACAGAAGCCAGATATGTGCAAAAATAAAGGAACTTCAGGGGTTAAAATAACAGGAAACGGTCCCTTATTCAAGATGGAAAAAACTTTATTACTTATAATTCCATTTAATTTCAGAGTGAGGGAGTGAATAAGGTTAATGCCACAGCAGTCTGAAGAATATATCCAATCTGGATATGATACACCAGCTGCCCACAGTATGATAACTGATCTGAGTGAGTGAGTTGGGTTTAACGCCGCTTTTAACAGTATTCCAGTTATATCACTGCAGGTCAGCTTAATGTGGGAGGAAAGCCCGAAGTGATGCAGGTCTCAGACGTTTACCACTTTGTTGAAACCCATGAGCACAGGTATGGTGCTGACAAACCTAGAAACATAATCGGGGCCAACCGGGATTCGAACCCACAATCATAGGTTTCTGGCGTGCCCAAGGGACGCAACTCTGCACAACGAATCGCGGCGCCTTAGACGACTGGGCCACCCGTGCCCCCCGGAACTGATCTGAGCCAATGTGGTAATAATGCCAGGTCAAAAACCAACCTTCTCTCCTGATCACCCATTTAAGTACAATTAATGCATAGCAGCAATTGTGGCCACATTCTTCTGTTTTTTGGCAGGGGGTTAGCCTGGCGGTTCAAGCGTTCATTCGTCATGCGGATGGCCTGGGTTCAATTCCCCACAGAGTGAGGGAGTGAGTGAGTATGGTTTTACGCCGCTTTTAGCAATATTCCAGCAATATCACGGCGGGGGACACCAGAAAATGGGCTTCACACATTGTACCCATGTCGGGAATCGAACCCGGGTCTTCGGCGTGACGAGCAAACGCTTTAACCACTAGGCTACCCGACCGCCCTCCCCACAGAGTACAATGTGTGAAGCTCATTACAATATGCCCGCCATGATATTGCTGTAATATTGCTAAAAGTGTTAAACCACACACACTGACTCACTCACTGTTATGTCTCAATGAGTGAGTGAGTGAGTGAGTATGGTTTTATGCCGCTTTTAGCAATATTCCAGCAATATCACAGCAGGGGACACCAGAAATGGGCTTCACACATTGTACCCATGTCGGGAATCGAACCCGGGTCTTCGGCGTGACGAGCAAACGCTTTAACAACTAGGCTACCCGACCGCCCTCCCCACAGAGTACAATGTGTGAAGCTCATTACAATATGCCTGCCATGATATTGCTGTAATATTGCTAAAAGTGTTAAACCACACACACTGACTCACTCACTGTTATGTCTCAATGAGTGAGTGAGTGAGTGAGTATGGTTTTATGCCGCTTTTAGCAATATTCCAGCAATATCACAGCAGGGGACACCAGAAATGGGCTTCACACATTGTACCCATGTCGGGAATCGAACCCGGGTCTTTGGCGTGTCAAGCGAACGCTTTAACCACTAGGCTACCCGACCGCCCTATGTCTCAATGACAGGCATTGATATGGATAGCCTATTCAATGCAGGAATCTCCCAATTTATACACAGGTGAATGCTATTGAATACATTTTGAGCCAAGGACCTACTCGCCAATTCTAGAACGCATGTCCACCTGCCAATGTTATAAACCCCTGACGACAAACTCACAATGTGTTAGTGAAAAGCAATGGACGGTTATCAGCTACGAAGTACAAGCACAAAACTCAGAAATAAGCTCCACCATACTTTTAACTACTCAATAACAACACTTATTCCTCATGTTCAATTTGCTGGATACAAATATTTGTCCATAATCAAAGTCTCCATGGGAAAGGCTGTAAATTCACAGCCTCAGTCATCAACCAGGGTTCCAAGGGATCAGACAGAACCCTAAGTATGGAGATGGATCCACATTGTTTCAGATGCTGCTACAAGACGTGTATGTACGTGGAGTTTATTTCTGTGTTGTATCAACCAGGGTAACACTGACCTGCCATAGACGTAGGGAATTGGTTTTGGTTTTTCCTTGTCCACCTGGTGCAGTAGCGGTGTGAAGATCCTCCACGCCTCCAACAGCTCGTCAGATCGGACAAAGTGGATCTGAGACCCCATGAAGACATCCAGGATTAGACGCTCGTAGGCATCAGGGAGCTTTACGTCCTGAAAATGCAAGTGCAATTATAGATTACTTGGAGGAACAGTCCACAAAAGACCACAAATTCAATTCATACTGGATATTTGTTTCATTCTGTTTTTCTATGCTGTATACTATCGGGGTAAAAGACAAGTTTGCGTGGCCGGTATCACAAGAGGAAGGGAGGGGTGAGGGTGACTGTAACCTGTACGTCTACAGTAGTCTACCCAATAAACTACCCAGCTAAGGGAATAGGAATCAAAACGTTGCTAAATGAAACTAAGCAATCATTCACCTGATGAAGGAGTAAGCATTGTGTTCCTCATAATAAAGAAGTTGACATCCATAAATTCGCTTCCTTATGAGAAAATGTTTTCAGAAAATACACATATTAAAATATAACTAAGCACTGCACATCTTCTATTAGCATGGACACCATTCCCCAAATTTGAAAAGAATCCAACCAGTAGTTTTCAAGTTATTGGTCGCACAAAGGTTTAAACAATAAAAAAAATTAACTTCTTTTTAAAAAAAGAAAAGAAAACTGTATTTTTTCAGAAAATCCAAATGTTGAAATCAAACTTCCCTCTGCACCTCTCCTATTGGCATAGAAAGTGTACACCAAGTTTGAAAGGAACATATCAAGTAGTTTTCAAGTCATAGGGCGCACACAAAAATGTCATCGGAAGGACGGATTGTCAGACGGAATTCCTTGGAAAAAACTATATACCCCTGCCCTTTAAGGTTGGGGGTATAATAAACCATAATAAAGTTGTTTTCCAATAAATTTGTATGTTTTACTTATTTACTTACAATCTTCTAAAGTTCTTTTCAAAGAAAGATATATTAGGCAATAATAGATTATCATCACCGTCCGACCCACAATTAAACCCCCCTTGGCAAAATAATTTTATTTGCTGATTGAAATGTTTAGAGCAGTGTAAAGACATCAGCTGTCAAACAGCTATTTCATATTTACGACATGCCGTAAACTAGTCTACAACTGACTCTATCGTCTGCTTGCATTCAGCTGTCAAGATGGTGCTCGCTATTTTGAAAATACGAGAGGGTGTGCAAACCATTAAAGAGAGGTACGCCTGTCCTTTGCCAGAGTCTATGACTCATGGAAATCTTCAACGAAAATAGGTTTGACACAGATACATCCGTCTGCTACTGTTGAAATCAATGTTTATTTATTATCTTTGTCATTTCAGTTATCTATTGTTCCTACCAAGGTGTCCAGTCTTCAAACTTATGACTTTAATAGAAAATAGAAAATAGAAAATAAAATAGAAAAAATAAAAAGCCTCCCTCCCCACTTTCGAAAATAAAAGCAGATGAGTATTTAGCAAATAATTTATTTTGGCCTTATAGATTTTAGATGATCTGCAGGATTTCTGCAGGATTTCTGCAGAAACAAGGACAAATCTACATGAAGCAGACAGTGAGTGGATATTTCATAATGACATTCTCTTTATCCTTGGGCAGGAATATCGGCCTCTGAACAGGTCCAGACAAATCCCTGCATAGAATACTGGAGACCCACTTCTCTCCAGAATCCCTGTGAGGTCTTGAAATAGGAAAGTGTTTGCAACAGATGCAAAAACAGATACAACCTGCTTTTACCTTGATTGTCCAAAGGTTTCTCATGAAATAAACATCAAGAATATCTAAGACTAATTTACACATGCATGATATTTTCAATATGGCTGCTGTGGTATCCATGTTGAAAATCAAATTTAACCCCATTTAGTGATGCCATTTCTGAAATCCTACATGGAAGGATGAATAGGATACTAGTCAATACAGATAAATATATGTGGTTACCATATTTGCCATAATAAGTACCCTGGGTGAAAAAAAGAAACGAAAAGTGAAAAAGACAAAACTTACTCAAACCAGTTAAAGTTGTCAGAAATTGAGAAAATCAGAACATTGTTCAAATGTTGATGAAACAAAACAAAAACATTTTAGACAATATTTACAAGGCAATCATCACCTTCTACACTGCTGTTTAAAAAAAAAAAAATCTGTAATAGACACGACAGAAAATAAAAACTGTCATATAAATGTACAGGCTAAGTATTGGACGCTGACAAAGATTATTTACAGATTGATCTCCAAGTTGGTCAGGGGGAGCTTAAGGCAACAGGGCAATTGATAAGGCAAATACGGTACCTACAAATGAACTAAAACATGTTCTGAATGTTCTCAGTCATAGCAATACAACATGGAAGTACATGCAAGTCACATGGGATTAACTAAAGAAGTTTCAAACTCACCTTGTAGCGGCTTCCATAGGACAGGTCCAGTTCCGATTCTTCACACTCAATAGCCATACCAGGAGTTTTGGTCATCATCTTCAAGTACACCGCCTCATTGGGCTGGACGCGGATCACCAGCTCATTGCGCTTCACCTCACCAGAAGGGAAGATATCACCAGCCACATCACGGAACTGTACACGCACCTCGGCCTTCCGTTCATTTAGGGCTGCATTAGAAACAGGTTGTCAGATACCAGAACATCTTACTTGCAACTGTTGTGAGTGAGTGAGTAATTGTTGCTTTAAGAGGCTTCAGCAATATTCCAGCTATTCCGGGGGACCAGGTGGCCCAGTTGTGATTCGCCGTTATTCGCTGTGCAGATTTGCGACGCTTGGGCACGCCAGAAACCTATGATTGTGGGTTCGAGTCCTGGTTCGCCCCGATTATGTTTCTAGGTTTGTCAGCACCATACCCGTGCTCGTGGGTTTCACCGAAGTGGTAAACGTCTGAGACCTGCATCACTTGAGGCTTTCCTCCCACATTAAGCTGACACGCCGTGATATAACTGGAATACTGTTAAAAGCGGCGTTAAACCCAACTCACTCACTCACTCCAGATATTCGCAGCTAGGCAACTGTTATGATGCGTATTATCATGATTATACTAAACTGATGTGTTGATGGACTAGTGTTGGTCCCTAAGGTAGACTAGGCATGATAAAGACCCTTTTGGGCCAGCAAGGACTCCATCATTTAACAATTGGGCATAACTTATAGAAATGGTTATGAAAGCTCTCTGATACTTATAAAGGTGGAAACTAGACTTTGTTCCTTCTAACATGTATAACGCATATGGCTATAATGTACTTAAAGGTTGGTTATAAAGGTTTTCAAGAAACTTTTGTAAAATTTTAACTTTAACAAGCGTTTGAACAAGCTGATTTTTTGTAAATACACAAACTAATATATGGTAAAAAAATATTTTTGGTATCAGGCTTGCTTAAAGATAGGTTTTCTTTGGAATTGGAAAAAATCAGCCTTTTATACTCATATTAGCCATTTTTGTTTACTTGATCAAGTACAAAACTTGCAAGTGTAAGAAATATAAACAAGCTAGAGTTGTCAGCAATTTAAAGAAGAGGTTACATATGTACATTGAGCTATCAGTTGCTGAATACTAAAATCCACTTTCCAAAACTGAAGATTCCTTTGATGTCCAATAAACAATAGGACTGATGCAGCCATTTTTCTAGCCTTTGTCATATTAAATGTACGCAGTTGTTTACATTATTATAAGTATGTCAAAATGGACGATCTGAATTGTTTTCCTCTTTTCTATGGCAGACCAGGAGAACCGGTTCTGTGCCTGTTTGTTTGTTGTTTAATGCTGCACTCAGCAATATTCCAGCTACATGACGGAGGTCTGTAAATAATCGAGTCTGACCAGACAATCCAGTGATTGACATCATGAGCATCGATCCACGCAATTGGGATTGGTGACATGCATCAACCAACTCAGCGAGCCTGACCACCCTGAACCCACAATCATAGGTTTCTGGCATTCCCAAGGGACGCAACTCTGCACAGCAAATCGCGGCGCCTTAGACGACTGGGCCACCCGTGCCCCCCCTGTGCCTGTGAGGAATTCACTTGTCCACCTTGTAGGACTACTCTACTGGTACTATGACGCGTTTATACCCTTAAATGGCCCTCAGCTCCTTTCAGGCAATAAATCAAAGTAGCTCCAGCGATCACTTTCACTTTCCCAACCAATTTTACTAATGAACTGTATGGTGGAAAATAAAATAGTCCAATTGACATGTTAATGGGTAAATGATGGCATGCAACAATGTACACATTTATTGATTTAGTTTTGAATTGCTTACCTTTGCCACAGCGGAGTATGAATGGCACACCGTCCCACCTTTCATTCCTCACAAACATCACAGCAGTGGCAAATGTGGGGGTCACTGAACCTGAAGCCATAAAATGGTCGCATCACTGGACATATACTTCATGGTCAACACACCATAGATCACAGCTTCTTATTTGTTCACAAGAAGAGGGTTGGAAATTCATTACTTTCGGAAACGATGTAGGCTTTCTGTGGACAAATGCCAAAAGGGCAATTGATTTTAGTTCAGGGTCATTGACTCCGAGTCCCCTGTCAATATGAAGTATCCGTGGTCTAGTGGTAGAGCGTCCGCCCGGAGAGTGGAAGGTCCGGGGTTCGATCCCCAACCGCATCATACCAAAAGACGTTAAAAGATGGTACTTGTTGTTACCCTGTCTGGCGCTCGGCATTAAGGGGCTTAAACAAGGACTGGTCGGCTCGGAGTCAGTATACTGTGTCTGAGTGGGGTATTCATGTTAAACTGCGGCATGGTATCTCAGTGAGCTAGCACTATAAATCGGCATCAGTCCGGACTAGTACAAGCAGCCACACACACACACACACACACACGTCGCTATATAAGTGCAATAATCTTGGACGTGACGTTAAACCCAATTTCACCTCACCTCAATATGAAGTATTGATAGCTAGTGCCCATGTTATAATTGAGGTATACACTTGTAGCATCTGATTCTGGAGTATATTAAACTCATAAGAGTACTGATTTTACACTATTATACTCACTATACTATGCTACAGATGCCATATCAATGATATTCAAATACACTGGTAAATCATAGTGTTCTGCAGTTATTTGCAAAATATCTAATTCTGATCCTGTATCATAAAAATTGGCTTCAAATAATGGTTACAGGTATTCCTGTCAAAGCACATCTATCCAGTGTAGTTTCAGACATAAGCATGTACCATGTAAGTCACACCCTGTACATCTGTATTAGTGGTCACGAACATCTTCATCGAATACTTGACACAGAAGGCTCAGACATTCTTGTCCCATGACAGACACATGACCATCTCTAACACTGAATGTCAGCATCTACATCCCTCTTCACCAACCTTAGGGGGGCGGTCGAGTAGCCTAGTGGTTAAAGCGTTTGCTCGTCATGCACAAAAACTAATAAATATAACTGTGTAATTCCTTTTAACAAAGTTGCTGATGCTGCTTTTAGCAATAATTACTTATTACTTTAAGGGGCAGTGGGGTAGCCTAGTGGTTTAAGCGTTCGCTCATCACGCTGAAGACTCTGGTTCGATTCCCGACATGGGTACAATGTGTGAAGCCCATTTCTGGTGTCCCCCGCCGTGATATTGCTGGAATATTGCTCAAAGCGGCGTAAAAAAATACTCACTCACTCACCAACCTTATGCTTCCAGACTAGCATTGAATATGTCTATTATCTTCAGCACTCACATCTGATGGGGGGAAAGCAGCAAGGGATCCTTGTCTGGATGTATCCTGTCAGTTCTATTCTATTCTGTCTCAAACCATTAACACTACGCATGAACTTTAAGCCTGAGCAGCTAATCTGTCCTGCTGCACACTGACTGGAATGTACCTACCCTTGGGGACGGTGGGATCATCTAGGTATCCATCCTTCTCATCTCCCTTGCCATCCGTCTTGCCCACATACTGGCCGAGCACCACCTCATCCATCTTCACCGGCTGGATGCTTCGTAACACCTTGACCTATACAATAAAGGGGCAACATCAACGATATATTACATATTTCAAAGAAACTAATGTGTTGACAAATTCTGAAAATTCAAAAATAAGCACTCACATAAAAAAGTTATCAGAAGATGGAACATTATCCCTGCTGGATGCAAAGCTTTGTGAAGAAACATTGAAACATTTTCACATTTGATTCTTAAGGAGCTCAACCTTTAACACACAGTGATACCTTGTTGACCCCACTGATATATAATTTAGGATGACGAAATTAAACCCATTGGCTGAATCCTCATCTATTCTGTAACATTGAAGTCTTTGATAGTGAGTGAGTGAGTGAATATGGTTTTACGCCGCTTTTAGCAATATTCCAGCAATATCACGGCGGGGGGACACCAGAAATGGGCTTCACATGTTGAACCCATGTCGGGAATCGAACCCGGGTCTTAGGCGTGACAAGCGAACGCTTTAACCACTAGGCTACCCGACCGCCCCGAAGTCTTTGATAAGCATTTAGAAATAGGGAGAAAATGAATACATGACACTTTTTTTATGGATAGTAACTTCTTTTATTCTTTACACGACGTTACAGAGCTACTTCTATCGGGTGATGAAGGAGCAAGAAGTAGCTCTGAAACGTCTTATAAACAATAAAGAAGTTGCTATCCATAAAAAAAGTGTCATGTATTCATGTGTAACATTGGTGCAACACTATCAAACTACAGATAGCTTGACTCATACTTGATTGTTGTTTAACCAGCACTCAGCAATATTGCAGCTATATGACAGCGGTCTGGACATCATGGACATCAAACTACACAATTGGGATACAATGACATGCTTCAATCAAGTCAGTGAGCCTGATGACCTGATCCCATTAGTAACCCCTCAGAACAAGCATAGGTTGCTGAAGACCTATTCTAATCTGGATCTTCACAGGGGGAGTTCACTTTAAGTCACTTCACATTTATTTCATCCTAATTCTGAAGGTACGAGAGGCGTTCAATAAGTTTTGCAACTTCAATATAAGACCAAGTCGCAGAATATCTTTTGCACTTTTATTTTTCAATATAATCTCCATTCACCTCAATACATTTATTCCATTTGTCCTTCAAGCTTTTAAGACCATTTTTATAGAAATCCTCAGATTGGCCCTCTAACCACGCCTCTGTGGCAGCCTTTATTTCCTCTTCATCCTGGAAGCGTCTTCCATGTAGGGCAGATTTCATTTGCCAGAACAGGAAATAGTCCCTAGGGCCTAAGTCTTTAACTGTTCGAATCCACATTCACATATGGCGGCCTGTGCAATCCTCGACTTGTGAACCCAAACTTTATTACAGCGTGTTGTTCATGTTTGAGAGAATCCATGATTGTGACCACACCTAGGTGAATGAAGCAACCACATCTAACTTATTGTTGTGTCTGGAACTTGTTATGACATGTGTCAACCTGATGTTATGACTAGTGTCACATCTGCCACAAGCTGACATTGTTTGTGTAAACACAAATGCCCAAGTTGCAAAACTTATTGAACGCCCCCTGTATGTAATACCTATAATTCATTCAATCTACTACCCATTTAAGTCTTGACTGTGCACTTAATATACCAGCATACCTCAACACATCACACATCATTGCTAACACCTACCTTCTCATTTCGGATGTCTTCAGCTCCTGTTGAAGGTGGCTTCTCCATGGCAACCAGTGTCAGGATCTGGAGCAAGTGGTTCTGCATCACATCTCTGTCAAGGGTAGTAAAAAACCAAATCACACAAAATGTACACAAAATACTATAGAAACAATATTTCTGAAAGTTTGTATATCACAGGGTTTGATATGGCCAATGGTCAGCATGTCCACAACTTGTGAAAATCTTGAATTACCAGTCTTTTTCCATAAAAATGTTATGTTAAATAAACCACAAGTCTGACATGAGTAACTGGACATTGTGTGCGTACACGTGCGTGCGTATGTGTGCATGAGTGTTTGTGTGTTTTGTTGTTTAATGCCGCACTCAGCAATGTTTTCCATTACCATATCTGCCTGTTTGGGCCAGACAATCCAGTGATTGACATCACGATACGATGATCATGGGATACGATGAGATACATCAACCAAGTCGATTCCCGATTCCATTAGTCGTCTCATACGACAAGCATATAGTCGCCTCTAAAAGGCCAGCATGGGTTGCTGAAGATCTATTCTAACCCAGATCTTCACGGGTGAAATATATGGTATCAATCATACCTGATGATGCCGAACTGGTCAAAATATCCGCCTCTTCCCTGAGTGCCAAATGGCTCCTTGAAACTGATGACAACGCTGGCAATACTGTCCCGGTTCCAGATGGGGCTGAAGATGCGGTTCGCAAATCTACAAAACAGTATTCATGTCAGTCATATAGAAGTAGTTGTACAGTGACACTGTAGCTCACCTGAATATATGTCAACAGTTTTATATGTGAACAAAGACCAACACTTGACAAAAAGTTCCAGCATTGATATTCAAGTATTTTTTGCATTGGACTACAAACTAAACTCTAATAATTTGAACAAAACATGATGTTATCATAAGAAGGAGCATACATGCTGAAGTTCAAGACTTTCAGTCTGCCAAGTTTACAGAGTCGAATATGTTGGTTGGTTGGTTTGTTGTTTAACGCCGCACTCCAGCAATATTCCAGCTATATGAAGGCGGTCTGTAAATAATCGAGTCTGGACCACACAATCCAGTGATTCATATCATGAGCATCGATCCCGTTAGTCGCCTTTTACGACAAGCATTGTCACCTTTTACGGCAAGCATGGGTTGCTGAAGACCTATTCTACCCCGTAATCTTCACGGGTCGAGTCGAATATGTAATATGAGATCAGATCATCTTGACTTGACAACACTGTCTTGTTTGAAACGAATGCAAGTGATGGAATCTGATTGGTCCATAAGAGTGGCTTAGAAGGGACATAACTTGTAATAACCACTGGTGGCGCTACGATCGAGCCCAGGTATTCCAGCCAAGTTCTGCAAGGGTGGAAACTGGACTTTTAAAGTCAGTTAACTCTCTTGCCTCGGGAAGATGTATAAAATACTGCAAACACCTGAACCTGTGTGATGAATGCCACAAAGTTTGTTGTTTAATACCACACTCAGCAATATTCCAGCTGTATGACGGCGGTCTGGAAATAATGGAGTCTGGACCAGACAATCCAGTGATTGATATCATGTGCAACAATCCACACCATCGAGATATGATGACACAAATCTTAACCCGATCCATTTGGTCACCTCTTAAGATCATCATAGGCTTCTCTGAACCAGGGCCCGATTCCTCAAAGTTATCTTAGCGATAAGGTGATTGTAACTGCCATACTTTAACACAGGCTTACAACAATCTTGCATGAGTGAGTGAGTACGGTTTTACGCCGCTTTTAGCAATATTCCAGCAATATCACGGCGGGGGACACCAGAAATGCGCTTCACACATTGTACCCATGTCGGGAATCGAACCCAGGTCTTCGGCATGACGAGCGAACGCTTTAAGCACTAGGCTACCCGACCGCCCCCAATCTTGCATGACAAACAGGTCCCTGTTCTAACCAAGAATACCCAAGAGAATTTAAGATTATGGCTCAAGTGTTAAAGGTCGAGTTTTGTTCGCATGTTTGCCACACTCAGCAATATTCCAGCTATATGACGGCGGTCTGTAAATAATTGAGTCTGGACCACACAATCCAGTGATTGACATCATGAACATCCGATCCCATTAGTCGCCTCTTACGACAAGCATAGTCGCATGTTATGACAAGCATAGGTTGCTGAAGTCCTATTCTACCCCGGATCTTCACAGGTCTCATAGTAATTAGAAGTAAAATTTGAAACACATGTACCAAATCACATTACATTAGTACAGAAACAAGAGTTTGCCACTAACGTGGCTATATCCCCCACCCCTGTTGCAGAATTTATGACATAATTAAATCTAAACAAACACTAACCTTTTTTAACCGAGGTGGAACTTGTCATGGAAATTGTAAAAAAAAGAAGAGTTTGGAACTTAAGTCCATCTTGTTGCCATAGAAACATTAAAAAAAGTTTTTCTTAAATTTCTAAATAGCAAAAGGTACCAGTTCAGCATGTACCTGACAAACCTGCAAAGTTTGATGAAAAAATATTGAATGGTTTATGAGTTATTCTCCGGAAACGAACCCTATCCTCACAGAACCTAAGTCCATCTTGTTGCAATGGAAACGTCAAAAATAAAAATTTCTAAATAGCAAAAGGCACCAGTTCAGCATGTACTTGACAGACCTGCAAAGTTTCATGAAAAAATATTGAATGGTTTCTGAGTTCTGCTCCGGAAACGAAACGTGACGGATGGACGGACGCGGGGGATAATAACTTATTAATGTCCTTAAATAGGCAGCAGCAATATTGAAAATCAGATTTAAAATTCTCTAACAAAGGGTTTCATAATGGGTTGAAACTTGCATGTCAAGTTTGGTACAGAGGTTTGTGAAACATATAATTGATGACTGGTGACAGACAGTTCAAGCCACGACATAGGCCCATTTGACTCTCAGTCAGGTGAGCTAAAAGGTCCTATAAATGTCGTGTCAAACTGTTCTATGTGGGCCAGCATAAATCCCCATTAGTCACCCCCGCCCCCACGTCTCTAAAACCCCACCTCAACCTCATGTTTTTGTCCTGTTCAGTTTTGGGTAAAATGGGCCAACACCACTGATGCATGCACATAAACTTTATTTGAGAGAAATGACAGGTAAAAATCTTCCCATTATAACTTCTGAGAAATAATGGAGAAATAATGGAAAAATAATGACAAGGACTATTGTATAATTTTACAAAGTATTTCTTGAGACTGACTTTCTAATCCACTGATGACACTGATTGGCTGACATCGGCAGTTTTGCAGACATAAAATTATGACGACCTGGTAATGTCCATCTAAACGTTTGTCTTTCAAGCAGGAGTGGGTGGTGTGAAAAGGGTAATGAATGTCACACTGTGTGGATGGGAGAGTGACTGAATACCTTCTTAAGTGTTAACTTGAACTACAAAGAGTATTCCTGTGTTCATAAATGGTGGAGGCATCTCATGAAGCCACCCATGACTGTTTCTATTATGAAGGTAATTTACTGTTAAAGCATACCACAACTTTGTGTGGCATAGAGCCTTGGCTGAGATGAGGTGTGTGTGTGTGTGTGTGTGTGTGTGTGTGTGTGTGTGTGTGTGTGTGTGTGTGGTGTGTGGTGTGTGTGTGTGTGTGTGTGTGTGTGTGTGTGTGTGTGTGTTAGAAACTAACAGTATTTGTCCACTAGTCCTTATAATGATAACATATAGCAAACCCCTGGCGGACGTTTTACCACAAGACCACGGAGGTGGTCTTGGGTGAGAGGAAAGTACAGACAACCCTTCATGCTCTTTAATGCTGTTAGTGAGTGAGGTGGGTTTAACGCCGCTTTTAACAGTATTCCAGTTATATCACAGCGTGTCAGCTTAATGTGGGAGGAAAGCCCAAAGTGATGCAGGTCTCAGATGTTTACCACTTTGGTGAAACCTTCCTACAACAACAAACCTAGAAACATAATTAGTGGAACGGGGATTCGATCCCATAATCATAGGTTTCTGGAGTGTCCAAGGAAAGTGGGGGTGTGGAGGTGTGGGGGGGGTCGGTTGTCGGTGGGGGTCGGTTGTCGGTCTGTGTCTGAGTACGTGTGTCTGTGACATTACTGTGAGCATGTAACACCAGACATACCATATCAACAAATCGCAAGTTAAAACCTGTTATCACACTATCTGGTCATAAATGGTAATAGGAGTCCAAACTAGATGCTATCCCTGTAACAAAATTTAGAAATGTTAAGAATTCAAAAGCACCTGGCTCTGTTTTAAACTTCAGTGACATTAGCTTGTGGATTATTCTTGTGGACCAGAATTTTAGAAAATTAGAATAATTTCTAACACTGCTCAGTAGTAATTTTTAGGTGTCCAAGGCTTGAACATGGGTGTCAAGGCTTGTGACATGTGGCACCTGACTTGATTTCCAAGGACTATCTTGAGGTAATATCCTTGCACGTGCACGAATATTTTTTATTTGCACTTGTCAATGAATACACAATGCCATTTAGTAAGTGGTCAAATGTAACAAATGTTATATCTGGGATAACACTTTCATAGTAAAGTACGGGACTCGACCCAAAAATGTTCAAGAATCTGTACTTTACTAAGAAAGTGTTATCCCAAATATAACATTTGTTTACACTTGTCGTCAAGAATGATCTACTACAGTGTTGCAATCTACCTAATGTCAAAAGGGGTGGGAACAACTTAAAGCCTGCAGTAAATTTCAAGGCCTACAGTCACAAACATCATTTTTATGACTAAAATAAACCATTATCCAGTACATAAGTTTCCATTCTACTACAATAAGTACTCTGGACCAATTCGCCAGCAACAAAGATACGGTGGGGAATGGGTCTAGGGTACATATGATACTAAAATGGAAATGTTAAACACAGGAAAAAATTGAGGACACAAATTACGAGACTGAGCACATTTCTAGTTTTTTAAACAGAAAGCTGATGCTTGTCATGACATTTGTCCTGACTGCACTGACATTTTCCGGGCATATCCAAAAGATCAAGGACAAAAATATCTAAACAAAATATTGCAATGAAAAGACTTTGTGAAAAGTGGAACTATGTACCCACTCCCCCCCACCCCCCCCCCCCCGACTCTAGTAAGATTCTGTATGGTCTGGTAAGCTCAGCTAATAAAAGTGATGTGATATCACTTAAGTGTAGAAAAAGAATTATCCAAAGAGGCAAGTTCGGGCTATTAGAATCAAATGTTATCGTCACACACTGTTAAACTGTAATCTGTCCCGATTTAACCTTACCCACAACACTGTTTCTGGCAGTGGAAAGCCAGTCTCTAGTTCAGCAGCCAAGAAGTCTTTATGATTATTAATTATGTTAAGCCAGAGACTGACCCAAAAGGCCCTGTACATTTTACTCAGTCCTTATGTGAAAAAATCTTTTAGCACAATTTCAATTCATTACAATGTTGTATCAGAACCTTTGGTGGTATACACAAAGCACTGATTATTTGTCAGTGATAGTGTCTGATTTTCTCTCCATATAGATTTTCTCTCCTTCCAAATCCAGAGTAACGATAAGCTGTGTATTTGTGTAAAACACACCCCAAAATATTCAAAACCCTATTACTTTCAATTAACTTGCATACAGAAATGCATGCATTAAATGGAAAACTCAATTGTTCGAAAACAGCACGCATAAATACCCAATGAAGCTTTTTCAGCATGCATACAACGGAACTAATTTCCGAAACACAATTATGAGCTAATTTAGTTTCCGAGTCAAGCCTATAGTTAGAACGGTTATATACATCTAAAACATTATTTCAAATTTTTTTTAAATCTCAAAATGCTTACCATTTTGTGAAAAAACCCAAAGAGTGATGAATAGATGAGTGAATAGATGAATAGATAAATAGATATTGGTTACACAATGACAAATGTAATAACCCAGTTAAAATAGACACCTTCGAGTAAAAACTCTATTGCTCAAAAAGTTATCTGGAGCTCTGTAGATCCCGAGAGTGGCCTCTGTCACCTTACCCTGTGAACTGTGAACTTTGAACTTTGAGTTGATTCAATTAATATCACCCACAAACAGAACAAGGAGGCTGTCAAGTTAGTGGCCACCACAATCGCGACGATAATGACTCTCATCCCACGTTTTCTGTGTCACAAACTCCTTCATGGAACTTTACGCACGTAAGAGTTTCCGACCCAGCAAAGTTTTAGTAGAGATAAAAATGTCTCACCTGAGAACCATGAGATTCTGCACCATCTCCTTGCCAAGATAGTGATCAATTCGGTACAGCTCCTCCTCATTAAACAGGGCGGACAGATGGGCTGACAAACGATTGGACGACTCCAGATCATGTCCAAACGGCTTCTCTACGATGATACGTGTCCATTTGTCTCTGCAAGTGTTAATTTTAATATAATCCTAAGGAATTTGTCATTTGTCTTGCCAGCAATCACAGACAGATATTCCACAATCATGACATTGTACCCTCAAGTTTGACCTAACAATGTTATACATTAAACTATTGTCATTCACAAGAAAGATTACAGATTTCCCAAGGTTCACGCAAACTGAAAATAATTTCACAAGGGACAGAAATATGATAAACTTGATATCTAACAGAAGATGAGTGTAATATTCTTCTTATTACCACAGACGCGATTTGAAGAGGAATCAACAAAAACGGTTTTTGAACTCATTTTACAGTGACCGAGAAAGGTCGAGGTTACAAAGCTCATTGACCTAACCACAGCAGAGGTTATTGATGCCATGTTGCTGTAAAAAAATAGTTTGTGTTTCTTTTGTTCTTCCACGGAAGGTAAACAACAAACTTCTATATTCTGGCAAATTGAAAGGCTGTATTAGAAGTCTAACAATGTTGATGTCAAACAGCACTGGTTCTCTTAGGTTGTTGGTTGGTTGTTTGGTTTGTTGTTTAACGCCGCACTCAGCAATATTCCAGCTATATGATGGCAGTCTGTAAATAATCGAGTCTGGACCAGACAATCCAGTGATTGATATCATGAGCATCGATCCACGCAATTGGGATCGATGACATGCATCAATCAAGTCAGCGAGCCTGACCACCCGATCCAATTAGTCGCCTTTTACGACAAGTATAGTCACCTTTTACGGCAAGCATGGGTTGCTGAAGACCTATTCTACCCCGGATCTTCACATTTTATATTAAAAAAATACTCTAATGATTATAATGAAACAGAAATTAACAACTTTACTGGTCGATTCTCTTAGGGGTGAAACAATACAGCAAGGTCAAGTTACGAGGAACTCAACACATAGGTCATGATACGATACATATTGCAATACACATCTTTACATAAAATCGCTTGGAAACTTCTTGGCTATAAATATTTCAGAGGTAGCTCAAATGCAAAAGCAAAAGTAGACACAAGTTCGTAGTATCTATTTATCGTGGTTAACTTAAACGCTAATTTCAACACGTTTTACGATATTTGACTTAAAAACGCTGCAGGTCATTAAACGAGTAGTACGTAATTAATTTTAGCAAATGTATCATCTTGTATCGATACAGAAATATATGTATCGTGTATAGTATTGTTGCATAAAAAGTCACGATGCACTGATGTATCGTTTCACCCCTAGTTCCTCTTAGCTTCTGTACAGCACATTTAATGGAAGAACTCGCCTACTTTGCAGATTTGTGATTTGCAATTTGCAACTTGTCAGCTGAGAGAAATTACACCAACAGTGTGGTTCGATACAACATGTACAAAATTCTTTGAAAATACCTAAATGTCAAACATTGGACAAACAGGTGAGGTGAAATGGGGTTTAACATCGCGTCCAAGATTATTGCACTTATATAGCAACGTGCATGCAGGTGTGTGCGTGTGTGTGTGGCTGCTTGTACTAGACCGGACTGATGCCGATTTATAGTGCTAGCTCACTGAGATACCATGCCGCAGTTTAACATGAATACCCCACTCAGACACAGTATACTGACTCCGAGCCGACCAGTCCTTGTTTTAGCCCCTTAATGCCAAGCGCCAGACAGGGTAACAACAAGTACCATCTTTTAACTTCTTTTGGTATCACGCGGCCGGGGATTGAACCCCGGACCTTCCGCTCTCCGGGCGGACGCTTTACCACTAGACCACGGAGACTGTCAGATTTGTGATTTGCAATTTGCAGTTTGTCAGTTGAGAGAAATTACACCAACAGTGTGGCTCGATACAACATGTACAAAATTCTTTGAAAATACCTAACTGTCAAACATTGGACAAACAAACTATCAGCTGCATGAGCATGTGATGAGAAAATGTAACAGTTTGAATAAGATATTGTTCTTCTAAACTCTTTCGTTTTCTTTAATAAATACCAAAAGGAACATCAATTCAGTCACTCTGTGACAGAATTGGTAGCATCTAAAAAACACAAACATGGTTTTATCATGATTGAAATATGAAGAACAAGGTCAAAAGTGAGCAAGGCTCACTAATACCCCCAACCCGCCTAGTGTGTCAGTAGTTTCAAATTAAATAATGGATAGGGTTAGGGTTTGAAAAATTCATAAAACAATGGAAAATTAATAAAAACATTTTTTTTTCTTTTGACTGCACCCCTCCATATGACACAGATTATATGTACTAAGTTTGAGATGAATCCACTGAATGGTTTAAGAGAACCTTTTAGGTCGGGGGTATAATAAACATATGTAGCGAAGGTAGTCCAAAAATGATCAACTTCTACAAGCAGCAACTGAAAAGTGACTTGTGCACACTGTGCAACTATAAGTAATATATGTACTAAGGCTGTAATGAATACACTATGAAGCGAATACGATTCATATCACAAATATAGGGTAATGAATACGAATATTAATTCGCGAATACAATACCAAATCAGCAGTTGATGTATTATTTGTTATATTCAGTGAATTAAAAGCAACATAATATTTTTTACATGGTTTGTTAATTATTAATATATTTATACATTTATATACAGCACTTATCCAGGTACTAGTATCTGCTCAAATGCGACAATGACCAGTGACATTACTGTCAAATTAAACATAAGACTAAGAGTGTTGCCTTTGAAGAAATCTATGCATATTATATGTTCTTATGGGTATTTTTAGGTGCAGGGTATGTAAATGCACATGATTGCATATTAATAAATATTCGATTCTAGTGGCCATGATTAACGAATTCAATTCATGAAAGGATACGGTTCGATTCACTGAATACATGGGTGAATCGTAACAGCCCTAATATGTACACCAATGTTTTGACCCTTGTGTAATAAATATAAAAATATAAATACCTACTTTTTTGACATGCAGACAGCCTTGATGTTGAGGGTTACCTTCTCGAAGACTGAGGGTGGCAGAGCCAGATAGAAGAGCCTGTTGGGGTCGCCCTTCTGCTCGATGGCCTTGTTCAGTCTGGAGAAGTCTCCTGTTTGGTCGTAGCTCCCGGCCACGTACTGATGCAGTTTGAAAAACTCATCCACCTTCTTTTCTTCCCCGTTCTTCACCTGGAGGTCAATTAGGAGAGTGAGAAAATGTTTTTCCCCATTGATCTGAGCAATATGCAAGTGAGTGAGTGAATGAGTGAGTGAGGTGAAATGGGGTTTAACGTTGCGTCCAAGATTATTGCACTTATATAGCGACGTGCATGTACGTGTATGTGTTTGTGTGGTTGCTTGTACTAGTCCGGCGTGATGCCGATTTATAGTGCTAGCTCACTGAGATACCATGCCGCAGTTTAATATGAATACCCCACTCAGTCACAGTATACTGACTCCGAGCCGACCAGTCCTTGTTTTAGCCCCTTAATGCCAGATAGGGTAACAAGAAGTACCATCTTTTAACGTCTTTTGGTATGACGGGGCCGGGGATCGAACCCCGGACCTTCTGCTCTCTGGGCAGATGCTCTACCACTAGAACACGGAGGCAGTCGAGTGAGTGAGTGAGTGAGTGAGTGAGTGAGTGAGTGAGTGAGTGAGTGAGTGAGTGAGTGAGTGAGTGAGTGAGTGAGTGAGTGAGTGAGTGAGTGAGTGAGTGAGTGAGTGACATTACGTATCTTGCCATTCTGGTCTTCATACACAAGATCAGTAGAAAGTAGTATAGTACCGGACCCCTCAGTATTTCTTAACACTGGTAGTGTCTAAAAATCAATATCGATAGCAAGATCCATAATTTAGCATACATGTTTATTTTTTTCTATGCCACCATCAGCAATTTTCCAGCAACATCACAGGTGATCCTAAACATTGAAGTCTAGCTGGACAAACCAGTGTTGATGTTTTGTGCCATGGGTACGATGGCATGCATAGTGTGCATGTATAATTGCTTCAAGCTTACCTTCATGTGTGGAAGACATTGCTTCTTGACATCCTCTACAGTAAGTTTGCTTCTTGCATAGCCGATGAAGTAAGTCTTTGGAGGAAGGAGTCCATCTTTGAAAAGCCACCTAAAGAGATATGTTCACGGTCATGTTTGTAACTTGGCATTTGCGTTCAGCAATGTTCAGGATTATAATGATTTTTAAGGAATCATTTTATAAGATTTGGTTTGGGTTTAATTCCAATATTATTGGCAATATTCCAGCTATATGACGGCAGTCTGTAAATAATCGAGTCTGGACCAGACAATCCATTGATTGATATAATGAGCATTGATCCACACAATTGGGATCGATGACATGAATCAACCAAGCCAGCGAGCCTGACCACCCGATCCCATTAGTCGCCTCTTACGACAAGCATAGTCGCCTTTTACGGCAAGCATGGGTTGCTGAAGACCTATTCTACCCCGGATCTTCACATTTTATATTAAAAAAGTACTCTAATGGTTATAATGAAACAGAAATTAACAACTTTACTGAAAAAGATTGCTATTTTACGAAGATTTCTCATTCTTACCATAATGTCGGGTAAATTTTCTTCTTTGCCAGATCTCCCTGAAACAAAAAAGATGATTCTTGTTTTAACCAATGTGTGGCCATGGTGGCATACACAGTGAAAGAAGAGATGATATAACAGCTCCAGCTCACCACCTGTTTACTCAAATGTTATCATTCACATTCACATTAGCATGATTAGGTCATGATTGTTTTGGGGGGTATTCAAAATATTTTCACTCTATATGTCAGTCTATAAGGTATTTTTAAACCAAAGAGAAGGCCTTTTTTAAAGATTAAAATTCTGCTTAAAATGATGTTTCAGCTTAAGCCGTCTCTACATTTGCATCTGTTCATATGCTGCCAATTCTGTCACATGTCGCATACGTTCTCAACAGCTATATATATATATGTCTATGTTAATCAGTGGGACGTAGCACAAGTGTGCATTATTCATTGCAGTATAATTCATGTATATATTATGCCTGACTTCGATCAGCAAAGAAATACAGGTTCACAGCCTGAAAGCCTTCATTGGGTAATACTGCAGTGTTCTTTTCATTGTAACACTAATATTTTAGATTTCAAAATAACTCAAAATTAATTGGGTTATCATAGGGCAAATTATTTTGCTTATTTTACCCCAAAGCACGGCATATCTGGTGCTGTGGTGTAACCGTTCCTCAGTTATTGCTACCAATGACTGTCCAAAATACAGACTGTCACGCCCTAAAAGTCACATGCACAAAATTTGTTATCTGAAAATTATTTACTTCAAACAGTTATATACAATAGCAGTTGTTCCCTAAATATTTTACAAACAGATACACATTAATATGCTGAAGTTATTAATTATTTCATTTTCTTTTTTGTATTAATAACTGAACAGTCTGATGCTTGTGATGAAACCTCAATATCTGACCAGAAATGATAGTCTCAATGCATTAGCTGAATATGGTATTCAATACACGACTATCAATTATGTGCTCATCAAGGCAGGGTGATTTAACTGATTACTCGGAGATCTCTCCACGCCACTGTCTTAACAAGGCGCCGTCGGTCAGGAATAAATTATTTAATTTTCATTCCATCAGTCCATGCAGACATTACCTACACACAAGAAAGATTGCTATGTTTCTGCAGGGGTAGAAACTAACATTGTTATACCACTAGTGCTTATAATGATAACAAGTAGCAAAAGCCTTATCAAGGGCAAATTTCTACTAGTCATGATACCTTAACCATTGGGCAGTTTGGCAAGGACTACAGGACTAGTGCCAGTTTCTAATGCTGTTCCTCCCTTCTTTCTTTATTTGATGAAAAACACCATGTCAGCTGTACATATAAAGTTCATGCATGTAAAACACATCCTTCAACAGTTAATGCAGGGCTCCAGATAAAGGCTGTGTCGGCGTATGTACAGACAAAAAAAAGCACAACACGGTGGGTGATAATTTAAAAAACGTATCAGATACGCATCACAGCATACATGTACCGTCTAACATTCATCTATAGAAGTATTTTCCCCAAATTATATTCTGATGTCAAGCATGATATTATCTTGGGTATAAAGCACACTTAATTTGCCTAAAGACAGCTTTATAAAGGGGGTGCACATTATACATCCCATAATGAGTTCTGATGGATTTTTTGCCCAATGCAAAGATATTACCGTGAGCATGTAACACCGGAAATACCATGTCAACAAATCTGTACTGAAGTACGCACATTAAACATGATACTGGTAGGAATGTTTAAGTTTAGATAAAAAAGGTAACAAATTTAGGTGATTCATTAACCAATCAAAACTCAACTAATCGTTTAAGGTGTTGCCAAGAGTAATTATTCTATTTGTGGATAAACTTTATTGCTCCACAGTAATTTTTGTGATGAAGGCAAGGGGCACGAGAAATAGGCTTAACACATGGGGAATCAAACCTGGGTCTTAAGCATGACAAGCGAGAGCTTTAACCACTAGGCTACCTGACCACAGCCACAAGAACAGTACTCCTGGCCTCGATAAATTGTCTGATTTGGGATAGTACCAGGTAAATGGGAAGATGGTAAAAAATCAAAAAATCTTCCCAACACAAAACACACGGTTGCAATTTATTGTTTAACTAAACACATGTTAAAAGAAATTTAACTGCTCTTGCCTTCATATCCTACCCTCTTATTAATCCAAACACATTAATAAAGTCAATACCACAAGCATCAGTAAATATCAAAGCGTAACTTTCTCGTAAAGGTTCGCTAGGTGAGGATTATCAAGATAAATCAATCCTAAAAGCTAAGAATCCCTTACCAACATCAATTACTGCAGGCAGATTCGATTTACACGACCAGCACTGAGGGGGATATGATCATGAAAGACTAATAGAATTCACCATGGTTTCAGGATGCAAAGATATTGATCGAAGGTCTTCATTTGACATAAACTAATTCCCTGCTAATCAAGTATTGCTGAGGCATAGGTCAGGTCTTTCTCTGGCCAGCTGTTTGACAGTTTGCCCACTCTCTGGTCAGACAAATCTCATCGTGAAATATCTGTGTTATTACCAAGCTTGGCTTCCATGATAATCTGTTAAGAAAGGACGACTGCTTGAGTAATGGAAAATGTTTGGGACATGAGAACATGGGTTCACGTTGTGCCTGTAAATTAGTTTATACATCTGCAGCCATTCCATCGGAAGTATCCATCATGTCTTCTTTACAAAGGGGTTGAAAATCCATCATATCATCAGCGGTAGGGGGGCACGGCCGGCCCAGTCCTCTAAGGCGCCGCGATTGGCTGTGCAGAGTTGCGTCCCTTGGGCGCGCCAGAAACCTATGATTGTGGGTTCGAATCCCGGTTTGCCCCGATTATGTTTCTAGGTTTGTCAGCACCATACCCATGCTCGTGGGTTTCACCGAAGTGGTAAACGTCTTGAGACCTGCATCACTTCGGGCTTTCCTCCCACATTAAGCTAACACGAGGCGATATAACTGGAATACTGTTAAAAGCGGCGTTAAACAAAACTCACTCACTCACTCACTCACTCACTCACTCACTCATCAATGGTAGAAACTAACATTTTCGTCCGCCAGTCCTTACGATGTTAACATACAGCAAAACACTTAAAAATGGTAAATTTCTACCAGTTCTTATGATACCTTAACTATTGGGCAGCTTGGCAAGGACTACAGGACTAGTGCTAATTTCTAACGCTGATCATTTGTGTAACAAATTATTATCAAAATATTCAGACACTGACTTCACTACTTTGTTGAATGTGTCAGCTTTCCTGTCCTTTCATGCACAGTTTATGATGATAATGCTGAGTCATCAATTGTCAATGATGCCAATTTTAGCATTGTAGTGAGTGAGGTTTAACACCACTTTTAACAGTATTCCAGTTATATCACGGTGTGTCAGCTTAATGTGGGAGGAAAGCCCGAAGTGATGCAGCTCTTAGACGTTTACCACCTCGGTGATAATAATCGGGGCGAAGGTTTCTGGTGTGCCCAAGGGACGCAACTCTGTACAGCGAATCACGGCACCTTAGACGACTGGGCCACCCGTGCTCCCCTTAGCATTGGAGAATAACATAGTTATGTGTTTTTCACACATGCTAAAATTAACTTCAAGAAATTATGGAGACAAATGTTGAATGAATGATGATAAATACAGCTGATATCTTAGACATGTTAGACATGTTTGAAAAATATTAAAACAATAATGTTTTAAAAGTAGAGTAAGTCTCCCCTTTCAGCATAATGCACAGCGAATCGCGGCGCTTTAGACGACTGGGCCACCCGTGCCCCCTGAAATGCTGTAGACTGACAGACAAGCTACTTTACCACAGACGGGCTTTGATTGCATTAATATCCTCTGTGCATAGAAACATGTCATATCGGAGACTCGGAGTGAGGCCAACCTGTTTTGAGTGACATGGCAATGATGGAGTGTTTGATGTAACATCTGCTGGCTTTAATAATATAACAAGTATGGAGCTGCAAATGTTGGCCAAAAAAAATTTGAAGGAGCACATTCAAACATTTTAGTTAGTTTCCTAATAGAAAATTTAATCACAGCAGCTCTGGAGCTTGATGCTATTTGTTGTCCTCCAGCTGAGGCGTTCATTCTGACAACAATGAATAAGTCATTGACAAACAAGGATCAAAATCTGGGAAAATCTAAGAGAGACTGAGTTGGGTTAACGCTGCTTTGAACAGTGTTCCAGTTATATCACGTCGTGTCAGCTTAAGGCTTAAAAAAATAGAAGAATTGGTTCCCAGGCAATGACTTTTGAAAACATAGTGCAGGCGGGCAGTGTTTTTGTTTTTTGTTTTGTATGTAACCAAATAAACAGTTGCATACCATCAACATGTGAAGAGGCTCTCTACATAAACAAGCATACAAACTCCTGTTGCGGCCATTACCGTAACACGAGATGCACAGTTAAGCAGTGTGCGTGTAAAGAAAACTACTTACTTACTTACTTTGGAGATTTAACGTGCGCTTTCCGACTGATGCGTATTTCGCACACGGGCCCGGCCAGGCCATTTAATGTGTTTCCGAAAGGGGCGAAAGTGGTCTGTGCAACCCAAGAGGGGGGTTTTAGGGGTTGCTTATATAGAATTTGGGAATTTTGAGATTTGGAATAGATGCCGATGGGATTGGGGAGGGGAACTAAGGGAGCTGGGTATGGTGGATGTTTGTTTGTTTATGTGATTTTGATTTGGTAGGTTATTGCGTTTTTAGATGCGTTTATTAGTTCCGTTTTTATTAAGAATACACCTAAGGCCTTGAAGTTTTCTAGTTTATTTTGTGGGTTTAGTATTGCTTCTAGAGTTAGAGCCTTGTTTAGATTGAGGGTGGTTTGTAATGCGGTTCGATGTGTTAGGTAGTGTGTGCAGTGGGTGAGTGCGTGTTCTGGGGTTTCTGGTTGTTTGCAGTGTGGGCAGTTACCTGTAGTGTGTTTTTTAATTTTTTTTAGGTGGTTATTTAGGTTGGTGTGTCCTGTTTGGAGTTTAGTGATTACTCTGTCAATTTTTTTGGATGGATGGAGAAGTTTTGG